GATTTATTCGTTAAACAAGAAAGTCGCTCTTAAATAATACTGGGTTCGATTCATCTAAGCTTGTGAACACGAGCTCATGTAGGCTCGTATATGTTTGTGAACATAGTCTCGTATAAGCTCATGAACATAGATTTGTAGGATCGTGAACGTAAGCTTGTGTAAAAAAAAAAAAAAAAAAAACACACACACAGACACACACAAACAAGCTTAAAAGGTAAGGATGGCATATTTGACAAGACTCGAACACGACACTGGATAATGGGTTTGCGTTTGGCTTAATCGTGTTTGTGTCATAATTGTGTTGACCCGAATTGGCACGATAATTAAACGTGTTGTGTTCGTGTTTAACCTGTCAATCCGTTTAACTAAATGTTTCGTATTCATGTTAAAAATGACCCGTTTAGCTAAACGTGTCGTGTACATATCCGAAATGACTTAAATGTATCTTATCATGTCAAGCCTTAACCCATTTATTAAACGAATTACACGTGTCAATTCATGTTACTCATGTAATAATCTTGTCAATGTTTCTTAACACAAATAATAATCGTGTCGTGTTCGTGTCGCTCTCTATAACAGAATACCTATGCTTTGACACGATACGAACGCGACCTGCCAACACGAATTGTCACTCCTATTTAAGGGCTCAAACACACTTTGCATTTGAAAGTTTGCTTGTGGGACCTCTCAAAATTTTAGAAATCTCGAGGGCGACCTTGTTTGTGTAGGCTAGTTTATGTTCATGAATAAGTTAAAACGATCTTGAACGCAAGCTCGAATGAAATTTTTTATTAACCAAATCGAGCATTAGCTTCTCAAAATAATAATGAGCCAAGCCCAACTCCAACTTAATTTTATTAGATCGAGCTAAGTCCGAACACACTTAAACTAGGCTCGGCTCGGCTCCGCTCGACAAGCTTAAAACCCTACTAATGTATAGGTAAATACTTTTATATGAGTCATTGTCATGGTCAAATAATTTTTTTTTTCTCTCTCTCTATCTTCTTTTCTATTGTCCATTGTTTCTTTTTTATATATTTAATTTTGGTCCTTTTTAGAATAAAAATTTTAAATTCTTTTTAATTACTTCTATTTCAAGTAAGTTGTCGGCCACAAACTTTTATATAATCCTGTGAGAATTGTAATTGGATTATCAATACACTCAAATGTTAGCCGAAGACTTACTATTTCCCTTTTTATACCACGTGTTTGTGTTTTTTTAGTTTTCCTCTCCAATATTTCCTTTCTCCTTCTACTTGACTCTACATATTCTACTTGACTACATAATTGGCTTAAGGATATATACTACGTTAAGCACAAGTATAAGACACGAATGCTGATTTTAATGTGTGCACATTTACATATATACGAGTATGAACACGTGTTTATATATATATATATATATATATATATATATATATATTAAAAATTAAGTACTTTAAGTGCAGGAAATTTTAAGTATTAACTTTTATATATTTTTTAGAATTTTTAAGTTGTCGTTTTCAATGCTAAGTTTCACGAAGTGACATTTATTTTTCTAATTGTTATTTATGTTATGTAATCAAATGCACTTAATCATAGTTTATTTAAAACACAATAAATGATCATCTTTCTTGAAAAAAAAGTATACACTTTTGTGTGAAACCATAAATAATGAAGAAATTAAAGTGATCGTGACACTAAACACACTCTCTTTAATTATTTCCAATGTAATAAAGACTTGTAATGTCAATTGCATTCGGTTTTCAAAAAGGAGATCTTTTGTTTTTCAAGGAAAAATATCTCATTAGTCTCCTCTCATCACGCTTTCAACCTTTGAACAAAAAATTTATTACTATTATTATTTGAAATTCTGTCTTTTTTTAATTATGTTTTCATACAATATTTTTCAATAGTGAATCGAACAAAAAATTTGAATTATTTTTTAAATTCTTATTTTATGATAACTGTCAAAAAGATGTTGAATGGTTTATTTATGGACCCCAGAAACCCTATAGATATTGTCATTATTATTATTATTATTATTATTTGTTTCTTAATTTCCTCCCAATAGCATTAATTAAATTTTTTAGTGGGACAAATGCATGGATCTCCTCACGCTCCCCCGATCGCGTGGTAACACGCTCCAAAGTAGGAGTGAGTCAATGTTGTGGTTCCAAAATCAACGTCATGGAGCGTACTTTTGACAATTTTGTTCCTCTGATTGGTCAAACTGTCACGCCCACTTCTGGAAGATACATTGAAGACTGTACAAATCACAAACAACATTAAAGAGCTAAAGGCTGTACAAGTCAAAATGGCAAATTTTATTCAAGCCACCTTTAAAAGGCAATCTTTTTATTTTCCGGGGCATTTTTGACCTTTTTCAAGTTTGGATTAGCCGACTAATTCCCTCAATCAAGGGCATTTTATTATGATTGTACTTTAGAGATGAACATTTTCCTTTTCTTTCCTTTCCTTTTCTTTTTTTTTTTTTTTTGGTCATATTTTTTTAGTGCTCTTTTTTATTTTATTTTGAAGTTGTAAAATTTGAAATCTCTGTCATTTAGCTTTGGAGCCTAATAAGTAATAGTATATCCTCTGATAAGTGAGAGGTGAGGGGTTCAACTTTTTTATAAGAACAGATAAATGTGCAAGTTTTTTTACAGTATATTAAGATGATGATTTTCCAACCACCATAAAGATTTTTTATCTTTCAATTATATTTTATAAATCATTTAAAATGTGATTCCATTCTATTAACATGTGGACACCCTCTCAAATGTGTTTGACAATTGATGCAATGACGAAGTAGAATAGGAAAAAGCAAAAAATAAAATAAAAATAAAAATAAAAAATAAAAGCAAAAGTAAATGAGTCTACATTCTTAAAAGGTGTACACGTTAAATGTCAAGAACTTCTCCCCTAGGTGAGAGGATGTTCACACATATAAATGTCAGGAATTTTTTCTCTAGGCTTTGTGGAATGCCATAATCACACCCATTTAGGACCCAGCATTCTTGCTGGATTGATCCATATGGGCTTGTCACGGTCCATTTGATAGCGTGTAAATATTGTTCGCTTTGCACACTCTAATTTCCCTGCTCCTGATTTTGTTCAAAACACGTCTACACAGTTAGCGGATGTCTACCCCTGCGCGCGCATACACACATATATATACATACCAGGAACTTCTCCTTTAGACGATGTGAGATGTCACAACATGGCCAAGAGTTCAACTTCCCGTAATGAATGCATGAGTGTATTTTTGTGAATAAACAAAATGTGGGGGTTCTTTATTATAATGATTTGTGATATCTAAATACAAAATATGATGAATCTGAACATGAGCCTTGACAGCAAGAAGAAGAAGAAGACTAGCCAATGAGATATATGATGAAGTAAGAGAGTCATTTGCCTTATACATGTGTGTTTTTTTCATTTGTTCAGTCATGCCTTCACGGATATATGAAGGCCTCTATTTATAGTCTCAGCTATTTTCAGGCTCTCAAGGGTCAGTCTAGTCTTTTAGCTCGAGGGGATGCATTATTGCATTAAATGCACTTTTTTGCAAAAATGGCAATAGCTGAGAGCATTAATGTGATTATAAGTGTTACAGTCCAGACATGTGGTTTCATCATCTCATTGGCTCGAACTATTGAGTAGTGCTGCATACCCACCCGTTTATACCCAATCACTTTCCCATCTGATTCCGATGTGAGACAAATAACCTTGTTACATTCTCCTCTATTCAAAATCACAATGCTCTCGTTGCGGCTCGGGCGACCCTGCTTACCCGGGGTGCTCACCCGGAAGCCTTCCTGGTCGGGTTTGGTGTGACACCGAACCAAGGACTGGGTCTGGCTCTAATATCAACTGTAACAGATGGGTGCTTGCCTATTTACCCAAAAGCTCGAACTATTGGGTAGTGTTGCATACCCACCCATTTATGCCCAATCACTTTTCTATTCGATTTTGATGTGAGACAAATGACCTTATTACACTAGGCCTATACGTTAGACGAACTCTAGCTTTTCATCTTCCAAACCAATGGTCCTTTTAGGTTCCCAAGTGAAAGCCATGGACCTTTGAGACCATCCTACCTTGGTCTCGAAATTTTGTGTGCTGCGTAAAAGGTCTTGAGCACTCTTGTGCGAGCGCCGCTATCGAGGTATATGATAGTACTCAAGCTTGACAAGTATTGTGAGGGTGTGCCACATGGATCTTGGTCTTGAGATGGATCTGTGCCCTGCACAAAGTGGATCTCAAACGCCCTTGTGCGAGCGTTGCTACCGAGGTTGCTCGAGCTTGACAAGTACCGTGAGGGTGTGCCGTGTGGATCTGCAAGATACATCCCATACAAAAAAAATATGTGATTTGAATAACTAATTAGAGTTTAAAGGTCTATTAGGTTCAGTTTTATAAAAAAATAAAAAATAAAAAAAGGTCTAAACTCATAAAATTATTTTTCAAAAATTATCAAAAAGACAATTCCATGAAAACAAACATTTTTTAAATAAGTTTCAAAAAAACTATTTATTAAACATATTTCTTTTATAGTTTTCTAATTTTTAATTCTCAAAAAATAAAAATTGTATAAAAAAACTGAAGAAGCAGATCCTAAATATTAAGGATAAAGTTGGCATTTGAATGCCACACTATAGAACTTTGCTTTCAAATCCTTTTGAGTTGTCTCATCTCGATCACTTGCTAGTTCCACTCCATTTGTTACTTAACCCAAATAACTACCACGATTATATATAGTTACATATGTATGTGAGTATGTGTATACGCGCGCACATGTATATTCAACATTTTTCTCTGTACTTTTCTGTCAATGATAACCCACATAAAAAGACTTGGTTCATGTTCTAATTAAGATTCCTCCTGGTCCCCCCAAATTAAAACTGGACGAGTCAAAGTCAAAACTCATGAACTTGACCAAGTAGCACACACCTCTCGAACACTTTTCACATTATATATATAGAGAATCTTCTCCCAACCTCAAAGCACTATCTTACACTATTTCATACACTGCGCACATCTGGAAGACACACCAACTGCAGATACAGAGAGAGAAGAAGAGGAGGAGGAGGAGGAGGAGAGAGAGAGATTAAACATGGAAGTGGAGAAGATGATGGGCAAAGTAGATACTACTAATAATAAGGCTGATGAGGATGACGATGATGTTCCGCTGCCGGGGTTTCGGTTTCATCCCACAGATGAAGAGCTTGTAGGGTTTTATCTTCGCCGGAAGGTTGAGAATAGACCGATCAGTATTGAACTCATCAAACAGATTGACATCTACAAATACGACCCTTGGGATCTTCCAAGTATGCATCTAGTTATATATATATATATTATTGAAGTTGTTAATTTTGTGTTCTTCCCATATTTGTTTAAATATCTTCATTCAAGGCTTAGAAGTATGCATGTAAGGAGAGTTTAGTTTTTACTAGATTAGATATTATACATATTTGTATTTTCTATAATATGTATGGTGATGAAATTTATGGTTAATTTCTTACGAGCAAATTAATGGTGTTTAATTGTTCTCTATGCCATCTTTTCATTGCAAACGAATTAAAACAGAATTATACTATAAATTATTAATATATATACTTCATGATTCATATGATTTAACAAGTATCAATTCGATCTGTCAAAACTTAGAAATAGAACATATATCTGTGTTAAGGTTTAATGAAATCATAGTTAATTAATATGATTTGACAAGTGACCAACCACTGACTACTTGCAAATAAATTAAGAATCCCCTATTAGAGTTTCATGAAATGATATTTACTTTATTATTTATTTATTTACTCCCTTTTCTTTTTCTCTTCTCTGTTTTTTTAAATACATGCCTCCAGTTCTGTAGGGATATGCCCTCCTGCAGCAACCATGCATATAACGTAAAAATGAGTTGATCCATTTTGATCAGTTTGTCACAAGAAAAATAGGTTAACCAATTTTTTTTTTTATTAACGTACAGACTGCATGAACATCAAAACGTACGTGCCTTTCCTCTTTTTGGTTCCTATACATGCTTAGTTCGTTTTCTTAACATAAGCTTTTCACTGCAAACCCACTAGAATAAGGGACTATTATGTCCATTTTTTCAAAAACAGTTTATAAGAATTTAGAATATCTGTTTTTAAAAAATTATAAAAGATAATTAATAATAAGGGACTATTATGTCCATCTTTTCAAAAACAGTTCTCAAGAATTCAGAATATTTATTTTCAGAAAATTATAAAAGATAATTAATATACTTTTTTTAACCAAGTTTCAAAAAGCAACTTTAGAGATGGTCAATAAAACACATTTTTCTCCAGCTTTTTTATTTTTCAGTTCTAAAAAATAAAAAATAAATCAGAAAACTGTTATCTGAAAACTGAACCAAGTAACCCTAGTTTTTGTAACAAGTGTTAATTTTCTATCTTGTCTCGAATTTTTTTCTCTATCTCATCGTGTTGTTTAATCTCTTTAATTTGGTGGATTTGCAGAAGCTAGTAATGTGGGAGATAAGGAGTGGTACTTCTTTTGCAGAAGAGGGAGAAAATATAGGAATAGTATAAGACCAAATAGGGTGACTGGCTCTGGATTTTGGAAAGCCACTGGCATAGACAAGCCGATATACTCTGAAGGGCGTGACACCATTGGACTCAAGAAATCATTGGTATACTATCGAGGAAGTGCAGGAAAAGGCACCAAAACCGATTGGATGATGCACGAGTTTCGCCTACCGGCTGATGATCAGAAAAGCACCAACAAACACATCGATGCAAAAAACAATATTCCTCAAGAAGCTGTAAGAAACTAACTGTTACCACTTTTCTAATTTTGGTTCATACATATGGTATGGTTGTTAGATAATTAAGCATTTAAAGTTTCATTTCTTGGTGCAATTATAAAAGAAATATCTTGCTCGATCTCAACTCAAGCATGACGCTGTGGATAGAATTTGAGAGTGCACGATTTGTGTACCACTCAATCTCTCTTTTGTGGAGAAGAGTTCATACCATCTGAGTTAGTGTTTATTGATGATCGATTTTGTATTGCAACTTGGGTCATTCCTCAGGGCAAAGGTAAAAATCAAGCTAACAAGGATAAACAATCACCTACTTTGTTCATATGACAAAATTTAGACGAGTGCGCAAAATTATACTACGCTAGGTTTGTTACCAATAAAATTTAGACGAGTGCCCAAAATTATACTATGCTAGGTCTATTATCAATCTTTTCTTCTTAGTATATAATTTATGTACACGGTGGATTTGGGGTGGGGGTCCTATGAAAAACCCCCCCTTACCCATCCCACCTTGTATAAATTTCCCATCTCGTCCCTACCTAACCGGCCTTGTTTAACCAGGATAGGGGTCCCTCTGAAAGACCCCTCTTACCCAGCCACCCTGTATAAATTTCCCATCTCGTCCCTACCTATTCCACGTTGTTTAACTATTTTTGTATTTTTTTAAATAATAATGAAAAGGATAATAGTATACAAAACGGTATAAGGCTGAATTATTAGGGTTTTGATGATTTAGCTTATGAAAGGTATTTTAATAACTTTAGTATTACATCGAGGTATTTAAGTAATTATGCAATATAAAGGCGGGGGATATCTATCCCCGTCCCCACCATGCATCCGCCCCAGTTTTGTTCACCTCAACCTGTCCCAACCCGTTGCAATTAAACAAACCCAAAATTGTGCCAATAGGGGGAGAGTGGGGCAGGTTCCCACCAGGACAGGGTAATTTGTCATTTACGGAATAGTGTGCCCGTGCTAATTAATTATATGTTTATATGCATCAATCTTTCCCTCTCAATGCCTACCTAAACACAATATACAATGACTAATACACTTCATGTACGTATATGTACGCTTTAGTTATATGCTTTTATATATCTTTAATTTGCCTGAATTAGTGTACAATGGAATGCACTTTAAATACACACACATATGCTAATTATATGCTTTTCTGCTTGGATTTTTGCAGGAAGTTTGGACACTCTGTCGAATTTTCAAGAGAAATGTGTCATACAGAAAGATAACAGATTGGAGAGAACAACCAGCTGCTAAACAAAACCCAGTTGATGCAAGCTCCAAAACCTGCAGTGTAGATTCTGATAACAATCCCCAAAGTTACATCAGTTTCAGAGCTCCACTGCTTCGACAGACCGAAAAGATGAAGCCCAGTGCTAATCATGTCATTAACAACACGAACCAGTTCATGTCCAGCCAATTAAGCTCCATATCTCAAGTTCCATCAACTGCGTCCTACTCTAGCTTTTCGAGTCCGGACATGAACGGGTGCTTCACGTATGGGGACTGGGATGAGCTCAGATCAGTTGTGGAGTTCGCTGTTGATCCATACCTTTTGTAAATGACTCTCCAGTGATTGCTAATTACATAAAATTAAATAATAGGAAGTGGGATTATATCTATATATATATATATATATATATATTGAAACTAGTTAGATTACCCGCGGACTGATTAACCATCAAACTTCCCGTGTTTGATTGACAGTTGAAACCATAAGGCATTTCATTTTTGTTATTATTATTATTATTTTTTTTTTTGGATCTAAATGATAGAAACTGATACAATGTGTAATTGTGTACTTGTATTAATTTGTTTAGATATATACTTGGCATGTTCTTATATTTTTCTTTGTTGTTCCATGATATGCAACATATTAGTGATTTTTCATTCATATTATAGAGAGTTTGTCCTTTTTGACAAAAGATTGAAACTATTAAGGGTAGCAAACAGCAAAGAATCAAGGATGTTAGCTGACGGAGGTTTCTTATTCTTTAGATGTACACATAGCGTAGGACATGGACACATAGTAAACAGGACTAACATAAATATAAATCAAAGGGTTGAGGCAGGTGGATCCTATATACCTTGGTATTCCTCTTATTACAACTAAGCTCTCTGCAGCTGATTGTCATACTTGGTGGACAATACGATGAAAAAATTTTGTAACTGGACTACAAGAGCTCTTTGTTTTGCTGGAACTGGAAGGCTCCAACTTATCCAAGCTATTCTGTATAGCATGCATATTTTTTGGACTAATCTCCTAGTTCTTCCTGCCAAGGTGTGTAATCAGATCAACAATGTTGTACAAAATTTCCTTTGGGTTGGTCCCTCAATGTCAAAATTTAGGGCCTTCAATGGGACAGAGTGTGAACACCTAATTAAAGAGGTTGGTGGCCTAGGAATTCATGGGACAAAGTGTGAACACCTAATTAAAGAGGTTGGTGGTCCAGGAATTCATGACATCAACCTATGGAACAAAGCTAGCTAGCTGCTGTTATCATACATCTATGGAATATTAATTTGCTCAAATGACTCCTACAGCTTATGGAAGGATTGGAGCTGCAAATATCTTATCAAGAATAGAAGCATTTGGGAAGTTCAAATCCCAAATAACTCTCCTCATGGTTTTGGAGGAAACTAGTTCAGAATAGACACCTAGCTGAGTCTTTTGTCAAACACATGGTGAACAGTGGAAAATCTACACTATTGCTAGCTCTACTGTGACAACGTACTGGCTCCCCTGTGGCCCATTACTTGGGTTACAAGGATGGCATTACAACAGATTTGTGAAAGTTTCTCATGTTATCTCCAATAACCAGCGGACTTGGCCTCCTTGTATGATCTCCAACCCCAAACCACAACCACGATGACATTATATATCCAATGGACACCATCCCCCACAAAAAGGCCTACTCCCTCAAACGCACTCGCCAAGCTCTGTTCGATCCCTAAACGTTCTTTCTGCCCATGGTTAGCCATCCAAGATAAATTGTTAACTCTTGACAAGCCAGCTATGGACTACCGTATGCAACCAAATGTATGAATTTTATGTGTAAGAGCAGCATAAAGTCATGATCACATACCCTTTCTCAAAAAGTTCATTTGGTGAAAAATTCAGGATAAATTTGGATTCTACACTAGTCCGAATTCATTGAATGATTTCCTTGTATGGGCATCATCAAATTGGAGACAAAAATTAAAGAAAAGTAGAATCCTGGTTTGGAAGCTTAATTACCTTGGCAAGCTTTGTGTATCATGTTTGGATGGAGAGAAACAACCCAATCTTCAGGAACAAATGCAACCATCCGAGAATGACATTAATTTATGAATAGTGTGAGATTAAGAATGTTTTCAATGAAGAAATGCAAATGCCAGTATGCAGAGACAGTAGCCAGTGAATGGAACCTTCCCTCATCCTTCTATCATCCATCCCACACCAATCCTTTCTTCTCCTTTACCCAATACCAAACATAAGTGCCTTTTGTTGCCTTCGCCCCGTTGGACCTTGGGGTATGCCCCAAGTATACTTGTATTTATTTTCTTTTCTTTTCTTTTATCCATACTTACTTACTAATTAAATAAGATCAATTCAAAAGCACTTTATTTCCTTATTTATTATAAATAGAGCAGACAACCACATATTCCAAAGTCAGAAATTTTGAATGTCGGTCTACCAAAAGTTTAGAGTTGTTCCTGTTACGAGTTGTTTTGGTTTGAAGATTATTGTGAAAAGGTATGTGAAGGTTCTATGAGTAACAACAAGTTCTGAATAATTTTATGGTGCTAATTTTTTTTTTTTTTTTTTTTTTTTTTTTTTTGGTAAGCGAGATATTTTATAAAATTAGAACAAAAACCAAAAAATAAAAAAATAAAAAAACGAATGGCGCATATATTTTAAAGGGGAACTTTTATTGTCCGTGCGTAAACTAGTAGTCAAATAAAGTGGTTTAATCTACAACACTTCATATATGAATCAGATATAATTCATAAAACTTTTATCATTATATTTTGCGAAGAAATCGACCGAGTTTGGAGTCCGAGAATTTCTTAAACTGTAATAAATTTACAGATTAAATTTGTTCTCCCACTCCTCATTCATTACAAAATTTTAAACCCTTTGCGTATAAATTTTAAACGAAGTGCATATAAATTTGTTCTCTTACAATTTTATAACAGTTTAAGGTCGCGTCAACACAATTTTATTATAGCATTAGCATTGTACCGTCAAAAAAATAAGTCAGTAGTTAAATATTAGATTTGAATGAGCCAGTGTAACCACAAGTAATAACCCACCATTGGAGCAGGATGGCATTCGCATCCTCATTGAACTTTTCCAAGTTAATAAAGAGAAGATTATATCTTTTTAAAAAGGTAAAAAAATTGTAATTCATGTCCATATCTCTCATCTAACACATTTTAGGTTTAGTAGAATCCTTTTTTTCTCCTAGTTTATACTCACACACGTTTCTTCTGAAATTTAAACTCCTGACCTCCCTTTGAAGAGTAAGAGACTAAAATCCTTTTGTTTGAACCGAAGTGATACAAACTTAAGAGAGGGTCTCTCCTCAATCGCCAAGATGCAAAAACTCAAGCCCGCAAACAAACAAAACCATTTTGCTTGGCTTCCCAATCCGAGCTTTTCTCACTAATATTGCATTAAAATACAAAATGACACATATATCACTATTAAGAGTCAAAAAAGAAAAAACTAATCACCAATACAATGTGATGTCATTTTTGAATATATGGAAAATATTAACAGACACTAACCGAAAAAAAGGTAGACAAGGCCCTTCAAATACTGAAGAAATAGTTTCGAAAATTTACTCCTACAGTAGTTGAAGACTTGGGACAAAGAACACTCTTGAAATAGATCAAGAGAGAATTCAAATTAATAAATGAATCCTGTAAAATCTTCCTAGCAAGGTACGTTTTAAAAGTTTCTTTTAATAAAAAAACCTAAATACTAATACTACCAAAGTTTAGGGACAAAATTAAATTAAAAGCAAATTACTACGACAAGCCAAGGTCTCCCAAACGCTTAAATCCTCACCAACAAATAGGATATTCCCCTTTGTCTCCTTTCTCGCTTTGTTTCAAAACCCCAACATCTCTCTTATATTTTCTTTCAGGCATATACACTGTATTTTGAAATACTAGAAACTATCTTCATGACAATATCCAACGAGTCAGTAACCTAGCGGTACCAGACTCCTACTTCTCAAAGGGAGGTTAGGGGTTCGAGCCTCCTTGGAGGTAAGTGTGTGCGAGTATCAACTAGGAAAAAAAAAAGACAATATCCATATTAAATAGACCTATCCTAAACAAAAAAATCCAAGACAACGTTCATATTCTACTTGAAAATTTTATAATACAAGATTTTGTTCACAACAGAGAATGAATACTATGTACTTGCAGCTTCGCTAATCATATCATCAATAAAAGACCACACATTTAATAGGTCATACATCCATATTAACAAGGCAAGACAAAAGTAAAAACATAAAACAATGAATTATAGCATGGGTTGTCAGAAGTTAAACCATTCAGTAACAAGTTTTAAAGCAAACTAACCAAGACCAGAAATAGGAAATCAATACCACCCATTCATCATGGGTAACCCAAGTCAAAAACTCACCGAAAAAAAAAAAAAAAAAAAGGTAAAAAACATGAGTTGCTGCATACTGAAACAACCAGCAACAAGAAAAATTGCCTGCAAAAAGAAAAAATAAATGTCAAGGACATCAAACATAAAAGAGCACAGAAAACAACAAGAGTATCAGAAGTAAATTAATGTTTTATGCATAAGAGAAACAATTACAATGGATAATGGTTTAAATCAAAACAAGACTACATAATGATCCGGTCAAATCATATTAAAAAAAAAATGTCTCCTGGCAAACCAAAAAATTGATCTAAGCAAAGATTTATGATGATAGATCAGAACATTGCAAGAGAAGTTAAGATTGTAATCCTTTATGGCTATTTAAGGACATAGAGTGCTAGAAAGCAAGTCATAAATATTTAATCACAAGTTCACACCACTGACACTATTTCCGGAGTGGGAATTCCGGTATTCATACCATGAATTGTGACTCTAATTTAGTGACCAAATCTCAACACAAAATAGGCTAAAATATAGGTAAAATAATGCACGAAAAACTCATTAAAGTAAAACAAGTATTACATATAGTTGTCCGTATTCGGGCCATTAACCGCCAGCAAGCACGAACAGCATGAATTGCAGCATGCAGATCGAGTGACAAGAACGTATGTGATCTCTATTCATAGTTATGAATAATGTTCGCAATCTTGTGGCTACCAAGGATGGTCTCATATCTACCTAGGTATGATGATGCCAAAATATATTAATTGGTCCAACAACAAACAAACTTTGCTACCCTGCTGTCCTAGTTCACACTTGGGATCAGTCGTGCCTCCATAACATAATAAATGTCAAGTATATCAATATAAAAGAGCACATAAAACAACAAAGGTATATGTATAAGAGAAACAAATACAATGATTAATGGTCTAACAATGCACAAAACAAGACTACATAATGTTCCGGTCAAATCATATATTTTTTTTAAAAAATGTCTCCTAGCAAACCAAAAAATTGATCTAAGCAAACTTTATAAATTTCACCGACATGGAAAAAGGTCATAAGATACTATGTATCTGAAAAAGTATTAATTCCAACCAATATTGAACTTAAAATAAAAAAGAGAAATGTCCAATTGGGCGATGGGGTCCATATATTTATTCTAATATCTTAAACCATAATTAACGGAAATATTAAAGAATGTGAAAGCAACTTATTTAGACACGTAGTTTCCCACATTAAAAGGTCTAACATATCACAAAACAAATGTAATGATGCAGCAATTCAACAATTGTGAAATTAAAAAAGATTATAACAAAGATGCAATACAAATAAACACTAGACACCAACAATCTGAAAGACACCAATTATCAAGGCTACACCAGAACATTGCATCAAAGAAACTGCAGAAGGGGGGAAAACTGTCACAAACAAAATAAATTTCTACCGCTTAATCGCAGCATCAAGGAATGAGAAATTAACAATACGAACATTCATTTTTTTATGATCAGACACAAAGAATGAGAAATCAAATTACCTGTGTTTTACGCAAGCTTACACAGAAACTAACCACAATTACCTCTCCTCCTCAGGGTAGGACCAGGATAAATACCAGGACCTTATCCAGCAACACTATCAGCCCAATATACCGCATTTCTCTCTTGTTGAGGAACCATCTCAGCAGGATCATGAAGAGCCATATTGACAACAGGAGCCTGAGAAGCAAAACAGTAGCTCGATCGACAACAAAACTCCCTTCAGGAATTTCTATACTGAGATGACGAGTCCCAGAATCAGCATCCGGAACCCTCTCACTGAGGAAGGTCCGGACTACTGAAACTGTAAATGCCCCCGTACTGTTGTTAACACATCTCTCTGCCATTGCCATCTCACAGAGGAAGGAGGAAGGTGCGGACTATTCAAATTGTAAATGCTGCTGTTAACATATCTCTGCGATTGCCATCCTCCTATGGAGAAGATATGAACATCGTTTGGTTGCATTTGTTACTGTCGATATATAGTCTTGCAGTCTCAAGAGTGCTAGGACCTTCTGTCAACTTGGTATTGACTCTCTTTAGCCTTGAACTGTCCTATAATTATCTGTTTGAGATAGCTAACTCCAATGGCCACAAAGGTTTCCCATGGACATATGTCATGTAGTCATGTGCATTATCATTGTTTCTCTTGATGTCATATATTAATTCAATGGGGATAATATTGCTTCAGGGAATTAAGTATAATCGCTTATCTTTGTAAAAAAAAAAAAAAAAAACCATCTCAACAGGATCCTCAGCCATATCAACAAGAGGAGCTCGAGGAGCAACAGTTCGACAGACAACAGAACTCCTGAAATTAACAAGAGGAGCTCGAGGAGCAACATTTCGACAGACATCACAATTCCTGAAGGGAGCTCTGTTGTCTATCCAGCTGCTGTTGATATGGCTCGGGATCCTATTGAGATGTTTTTTTTCCCACCATTATAATATTATCCCATTGAATTAATAATTTAATATAAGAAACTTAAACATAGAAACCATAATAAGGAGAAAAGGATATGTGGTCCGCTCTGTCAAGCAGATAATTGTATGACAGTTCAAAATTAAAGAGAATCAACCAAGTCGACAGAATTCCTAACACTGTTGGGATCGTCAGTAACAAATGCACTAGTAAATCCTCCATAGAATGATTATCGCAGAGATATGTTAACAGCAATACGAGGCATTTATTACAGTTTAAGTAGGCGCACGTACGACCCCTCCTTGTTATCTCAAATACTAACAGGCATGAGGATTAACGAGATAGCCTCACAGCAAATTCTAGTCCTAATCCCTTTGTTAGGGCCCGGGGAAAAAAAAGCAATAATTTTGAAGATTTAAAGACGAAATACATGACTACTGAAACACCAGAAGCAATAAAAGCAGAAAAGAAGCGAAGCAGACCTTCTTTCAACTTCACAAATTCAACTTTTTGGGGAGGTAACTAATACAGACTGGTTCCAACTCCAAAACTCTGAAAGAACCCACCGGAGAGCCAAGACGACGATGTTCAAACCTTGCGGCAGAGTCGGAAGTGGGGAGCGCCTCGGCATTGGGGAGCTGACGGCGATACAGTAGAGATCCACGGGCCGTGGACGGCCGATGGGGCAGCAAATCAGAAGTGAAGAGGACGTGCCACTGTAGACTTGTGGTTCTAGGGTTATTCTTTTGGGCAAACTACAATTACCTCCCCTGAGGTTTGACCTAATTGTAACTAAACCTGAGATTTGTCATATTTTTGCAAAGACCCCCCTATGTCAGAATTTGCTATGAATTTACTTACTTACCCTCATTATTATATTATTAAAAATATTTAAAATATTTTTAAATATCAAATGACTATTTTACCCTTATACAATTTTTTTTTTTTTTTTTTTTGCCCTTTTTCGTCCTGCCATCCTTCTCTTTCTTCTCTCCTCTCTCTTCAGCCACTACCCCACCCCCAATCACCACCACCACTCAACCTCTTACCACTTCCATCTCTCTCCACCAAACCTATTTTCACGTTTCAATCAAACGAATGAGAAACCACCACCTCAAAAATATAATAAACTAAACTAAACTTAATCCAAAAACAAATCAATTCAAAAACAAATCGGAAAAAAAATAAAATAAAATAAAATAAATCAACCATCCAACTTTCTCTCTATACTTCTCTCTCATGGAACCGAATGAAAGTGGACTGAGCTCTTATTACCACCAACAACACCACCTTCCACAACCACCACACCCTCAACTGTAAGAAAAAAAAAATTGTCTTATTATTATTAATCTTAACTTTTGTTTAAATGATTTTATAATTATCCATATTTAAGATATGTGACTCTTATCATATAACTACAGTTTATTTAGAGAGGAGTGTGTTAGTTGATGGAATCAACATGTCTCTTTTTGGTAACGTTTAAGAAACGGTCCCAGCCATCTATATATATATATATACACGTGAAAGAAAGTCTGAATTCATCGTCAGTTTCACAGGAAAAGATAGAGGGTTAAAGAGTATTTCTGATATAGTTCATCTCAAACTCAAACTGCTAAAGATGGCAAGTATGTGTCCAAACAATGTTTATGCATTAGAACCATATATTTTATTATTGTTGAATTGCTTACATGTGGTATCAGAGCCAAACATGAATTCTGATGCATAAATCTATTATTCATTCTATACGTATAAAATTTTATGACTGTCTCTATGTTTTAGATTAGATAGGACACTGATATATTGTTATATATTATACGTGATAATTTGCTTTGTTGGTAATAAAATTTTAGTGACTTATGTACCAATGTTTCACGTATGCATGTATTTATTATATATGAGATCACGAGATGGTAAGCCAATTCAGTTAGCCTCACATGAGGCCCAAATGGATAACTGTTTGAAACAACCAATATCAGGCCTCAATATACAAAGATCACAAGGACACATATATCTCACATATAAGCAAATGGCTTATATCAGTTCCCTTTTGTGTATATCTTTTCTATCTACAAGAGCTGGGTCCTACAAAATATATGGTGTCAGTTTTCCTTTTGGCGTGACATACCATTGACTGCAGGTTGTCTTGCATGTCCCCAAATTTTCTATTTTAAGAAAATCAAAGCAGATCCTTCTTGCCCAGGCGAAATAAATATATGTGTGTATGTACTAATTACAAAGATATATATTCAGAAGGATCAACCAATTACTTTGGTAGACAGTCCAATGGGCTCCACACTCGTCTCAGCCAAATTACACACACAGTGTGTACTAGACTCTCATATATATATATATATGATAAGTGTTAGGATTGAAGCTTCAAATAGTGCTTATGATAGATGATTTAAATGGTATCATTATTATATAAATGTATTGAAATTGACATAATAAATATAATTATGCATATTGCTTCATGTTTAATATTGATGCATATTTATATATTAATTAGATTCATTTGGAGAAAATTACATTATTATAAAAATCCTAAGCTCAAATGTTGATAAAGTTAGATTAGGTGTTTAGTCACCAAAGTGACACACTTATGATAAATTCAATAATATTTGGAGTTAGTGGCAAAATTATAATTTTTTGTTAAAGTTGAAGGATTGACTGGCATTTAATAGAGACAAACAATAATCAAGCCCAAATGTGGGTTATTGAGATTTGTTCAACTAAATAGATTGAGGTAATTACTATAGATTATATAATTGATAACATAATATGTCCAGAGGTATATATGTGTTTAATATTATATTTTCTTTGATTAATTAGCCTTAAAAGTGAAATTTGTTGCACTAGTGGGAGATTAACATTTAATGATATTGGCCTAAAGGAAATATTGTTGAATGTGATGTTGATTCCATTCAGAGTCCATTATTTTGAAGCATTACTTATTGATTCTGGAAAGTTTGATTGTTTTTACCATCAATTAAACTATATAATTGTGGCCTTAATAATTTTGATATTTTTATTTTTATTTCATAACAGTTGGTTCATTATCGTGTGTGAAGGCCCTGACTGGGTCTAATTTCTCGAACTAGAAAGATGAAATAATTTTTAATTTAGGACTTGGGGATTTAGACTTAGCCATTAGGTCAGATGAACCACCTAAGCCTATAGACACTAGTGATGCAGAGGTGAAAAATGAATGGGATAAATGAGACAGGTCTAATAGACTTAGTCTAATGTATATTAAGAATAATATTCCTAAATATATTAGGGGTGCCATTCCTAATAAACCATTGGCTAAGGATCACGTTAAGGCTCTAGAAGAACATTTTACTATTTCAACTAAGTCACTGGCTAGCACTCTTATGACCTAATTAGCAACCGCAAAATATGATGGTCTTAATGGTGTGCATGAGCATATCATGAAAATGACTGATATTGCATGTCAATTGAAAATTTTGAATATGGAAGTTAGTGACTCTTTTCTAATCCACTTTATTATGACTTTTCTTCCTGCGCAATTCGATATTTTTAAAACTACTTATAATGCATAGAAAGATAAATAGAAATTAAAAGAATTAATTAATATGCGTGCACAAGAGAAAGAGCGAACCCGACACAATAAGCCCGATATGGCACACATTGTGGATCAAAAAATAGTCAAGAAAAATGATAAAAAAACTGGGAAAATAGGTATAAAGGTTAATGGTGTTGGACCTAGTCAGGCACATAAAGTGGGGAAAAAGAAAGTTCAATGATTCTGGTGTCACAAGCGAGACCATGTCATAAAGGAATGCTTTAGTTACAAAAACTGGTTAGCAAAGAAAGGTAGCACCCATTGTCTAGTGTGTTCAGAATCTAATTTAGCCATTGTTCCACCAAATACTTGGTGGATTAATTCCGGGGCTACTATTCATATTTCTAATTCCTTGCAGGGATTTATAAGAAACCGGAAAATCAATTCCAACCAAAGGACACTCACCATGGGTAATGGGGTTGAAGCACAAGTTAAAGCTGTGGGAGTTGTTCGTCTTGTCCTTAGTAGTGGTTTTATATTAGAGTTAGAAGATGTTTTATATGTTCATTCAATGTCTATAAATTTGATTTCTATACCTAAACTTGATATGTTGAATTATGAATTTCGTTTTGGTAATCATAATATCAATATCTTTTATGATTCCAAATTTATTGGTTCTGGTTCATTAGTTGATAGTCTTTATCTTTTAAATCTTGACCCAATTTTTTCACAATCTCTTTTGTCTTTTAATGTGAGTAGCAAACGTAGTCTTACCAATGATTCTTCTTCTATGTTATGGCACAGGCGTTTAGGTCATATCTCTAGAGAGAGATTAGAAAGATTGGTTAGAAAAGGTGTTCTGAACACATTAGATTTTTTAGACTATAACATATGCATTAATTGTGCTAAAGGAAAGTTAACCAAGTCTAGACATAAGAGTGTTACTAAAAGTAATGGCCTTTTAGAGCTTATACACACAGACATATGTGGTCCTTTCATTCCTGCTACACTAAACGGGAAGAAATATTTTATTACATTTATTGATGATTATTCTCGTTATGGTTATGTGTACTTGATTGATGAGAAATCTGAGGCACTGGATATTTTAAAATTTTATAAGATAGAAGTCGAACGTTGGCTTAATAAGAAAATTAAAGTAGTACGATCTGATCGTGGTAGTGAATATTACAGAAGGCACGATCATACAAGTCGTAATCTAGGGTCATTTGCAAAGTATCTACAGAAGTGTGGTATAGTTGCGCAGTACACCATGCCAGGTACCCCTGAGCAAACGGTGTAGCTGAACGAAAGAATCGCACTCTTATTGATATGGTGCGAACTATGATAAGTAATTCATCTTTACCAGACTTTTGTGGGGTGAAGCTCTTAGGACTGCTACATATATCCTAAATCGAGTGCTATCTAAGGCAGTCTCAAAGACTCCTTTTGAGTTATGGACAGGAAGAAAACCTAATTTAAATCACTTGCGTATCTAGGGATGTGTAGCAGAGGCTAAATTATATAACCCACATGAAAGGAAACTTGATCCCAGAACAGTCAGTTGTTATTTTGTAGGATATCCAGAAAGGTCAAAAGGTTATAGATTTTACTGTCCATCACACAGTACCAAACTTATTGAGACCCTAAATGCTAGGTTCATTGAATATGGTTACACCAGTGGGAATATAGAACCCAGGCACATGATTTTTGAGGAAAATCGAAATATAAATTTATTTCCTCGGTATGACGTAATTGTCCCACTCGCTACCATGTAAGATGGTGATTTAAGTCATCAAGAGCCCGAAGAGCAAACACCTCATGTAGAAGAAATCTCAAATGATCAATAATTGACATGCCATTACGAAGATCAAGAAGAGAAAGGAAAAGTGCTATTCCAGATGACTATAAAGTTTATCTACAAGAGATTGAGTTCAACATTAGTAAAGAAGATGATCCATTATCATTTTCAGAAGCCAAAAGTAGCACTTTTGCTTAACAATGGTCAGATGCAATAAAATATGAGTTAGATTCTATGAAAAATAATCAAGTTTGGGATCTAGTTGACTTACCAGAGGGAGTCCAACCCATTGGCTGTAAATGGGTATTTAAAACTAAACGAGACTCAAAAGGTAAAGTTGAAAGATATAATACCCGACTTGTTGCTAAGGGTTTTACTCAACAAAAGGGTATCGACTATAAAGAAATTTTTTCTCCTGTTTCAAAGAAAGATTCTTTTAGAATTAT